CCTTTCCTTGGGGATGACCTCTTCATTCTTTTCTGGTTTGGACACTCTGCTTTAGGCTACTGCAGCTCCTCTGTCCCCACCCACACTCCTAGCGTGGATGCCTACTTTTCTCTTTTCCACCAACAGCTGTAGGGCTGAACTGTTCAGGAAGGAAAGAGGAAGATTTAAATATTCTTTGTTTTACAATTAATGTATAATATACCTTTTCATTTTTTTTTTTAACAAAATCATCCAACAAGTTCAAAACTAACATCTTCATTCCATACCCATAATCACCAATTCCATTTTCTTTCTAGAGGCAGATGCTATCAGTTTGGTATGTATCTTTTCAGGCTTCCTTCCTTTGTAGTTACATACCAGGCATGGGTATATAAATGTATAGTTTTGCTCTTTTTTAAAAAAAAAAGTAAATGTAATCTTATTTTCAATCATTTCATCAGCTCCGTTTTTAAAAAACGAAACATTATCTCCTGCAATTGTAGGTCAGCACATGTAGATAGACCTTTTTTCAAAAGTGCTGTATAGTATTTCTTTTTTCAAAAGTGCTGTATAGTATTTCATAGAATGGCTATACCATGATTTCCTTTACAATTAGTTTATTTCTAATATTTTGTTATTACAAACAGTGCTGCAGTGAACAGCCTAACCATGCCCCGTTAAGCTCACGTGTGACTGTTTCTCACGTATGTATTAGAATTTCAGGATCAAGCATTGAAATTTTAATAATGACAGTAACAGACAACATTTACCAAACAGTTACTGTAATCTAGACACTGCCTTAAGTTCTTTACGTATATTTTCTTATTTCTTATAAATATCCACTATGATAATTCTCATTTAGCAGATGAGAAAACTAAAGAAAAGAAAAGTGACCCAATTCACAGAACTAACAATAGGTGATAGAACAGGAATGTAAACCCACTTCATTTAATTGCAGAGACCCTGGTCTTAACTTCCTCACTACGTTAACTCAATGATTTCATTTTTCCATCATCGTGGTAATAAATTCTGTACAACTAAATATTCACCCCTTTTATATGCTCTGTGATGAAAGGAAGATTAATCATAACAATTTTAGGTGTTTTAGGTTCTAGAATATGTTCTGTGCCCCAGCAGCTTGGAGATATCATCAGCCAGAACTCTTCCCAAACTCATAAGAAGGCTATTATTGAATCAAGAGTTACGTTATGATATTTATTTATTTATTTATTTTTATTTATTTACTTTGAGACAAGAGTCTTGCTCTGTCTCTCAGGCTGGAGTGCAGTGACCCAATCTCGGCTCACTGCGACCTCTGCCTCCTGGGTTCAAGTGATTCTCCTGCCTCAGCCTCCCGAGTAGCTGGGTTTACAGGCGCCTTCCACCACACCTGGCTAATTTTTTTTTGTATTTTTAGTAGAGACGGGGTTTCACAGTGTTAGCCAGGATGATCTCCATCTCCTGACCTTGTGATCCGCCCACCTCAGCCTCCCAAACTGTTGGGATTACAGGCGTGAGACACTGAGCCCGGCCTTATTTATTTATTTAATTTATTTATTTGAGATGGAGTCTCACACTGTTGCGCAGACTGGAATGCAGTGGCGCAATCTTGGCTTACTGCACCAGGTTCAAGCAATTCTTCAGCCTCAGCCTCCCAAAAATCTGTGACTACAGGCATGCAACACCACGCCCAGCTAATTTTTGTATTTTTAGTCAAGACAGGGTTTCACCATGTGGTCAGGCTGGTCTTAACTCCTGACCTCAGGTGATCTGCTTGCCTTGAACTCCTAAAGTGCTGGAATTACAGGTGTAAGCCACCCCACCCAGCCGAATCAAGATTTATTAATATGTTTTCGAGGTTGGATATCTAGCAAGGAATAAAAGAACGGTAGTAATTTATGTAGATTATCCAGAAAGCTGGGTGATTTAAGGAGTTGGGAATGTGGTGGTTGTGCCTGAGAGTAGATAAACTTAATACTAAGCTATTTAGTAGAAGAAGTGGAAATTAGCAAGAATATTGCAGTAGTGAAAATGAGATAGACTAGGAGAATTTTTGAATTTATGTATCTGAATGACGGACTGTAAGATTATTATAATTAGGCAAAACAATTAGGCCTAAGAAAAGGGAATAGGGAACAGCAAGTGATTATTAGGTCACATATTATGTATATAATTCTATTTGGAAAAGATCCTGGATATATCTTCTTTGTAAAAAGTTTTGCTTTCTGAAGAATGTATAGCAAAGTTTCAATTTAATGAATTAGAAAATAGCACTCTAAAATCTTTCTATGAAAAGCATTAACATGCAAAATATTATCTGTTTGATGTTTTACTTAATAAAATAACTTAATCCAGCACAAAACTGAGCTTTCTCCTTCCTAAGGGTAACTGCTCAGCCATGAAAGGTCACTAACTAGGGAACTGGAAGAGGTAACACACTGAGAAGACTGTATTTAGTGCTGCCTTGTTGCATTTTCTTATAAAAGCCTATTTTAAAATATGACTTTGCAAAAATTAACTAACTAAAATGTGGAATTATATATTGAAACATGCTACTTTTCTTCTATGGCATTCAAATAAAAGTGCAGTGTTAGCATGGGTGGTTTATATCTATAATTAGCAGAGAGAGGTATTTCTGGAGTTTTTAGTAGACCATGAAAACTGATACAATTAAAAATTAAGACCCTTAAATCTATCTCTAAAATCCACATGTATTTTTTTCTTATTCTTTGTGTATACTTGGCTCAAATGGCAACCAATTCATATCTCTTTGCAAAGTTCAGAATAAAATAAAGTTTTCATTTTTTAATGATTTTGTTTAGATTGATTTCAATAAACTAATAAACATAAATAGCTACCTACTTATGTCCCCATTGCTAGTAAATACTGACAAAATTGTGTTTATTGAAAGACACAATTTGCAAAGATACCTTGTTCATATAGCAACTACCTGCGTTTCTTCTATTATAATAAAATGTTAAATAAAAATAGTATACAAAGTAGGCAGTGTTGACCTACTAGTTTGTTTTAATCATAAGGAAGTTCCCATAGACCTTCATGACAGATACTCTCCTCTTATTTTCCATGACACTAAAATTGTCCTATTATTTTTCTTTGCAGTTTTTCTTCACATCTTTTGGTGCCAGGGATAGAAGTTACCTCAGTATCTTTAGGTTGTGGCAGAATGTGTTATTAGATAAGGTAAGTGTTCATATCAGAGGCAGTTGCTTATTATAAGAACCTCCTGTTGTGTATCTAATAGTAGTTGTGAACTGAAGAGCTCATTTTTTTCTTAACTAAATTTGACTGGACAATTGAAATTCTAAGTAGAAACTTCAAGCAAAGCAAGATCTGTGGTTACAAGTTGTTAATTATAATCCCCAGGCTAACCACCAAGAAAATAAATAAAAATATATGTAGTAAAAGAAACATCAAAGGAATTAAAATGATAACACTAGAAAATATGTTTTTAATACATAGGAAGGCAGTAATGATGGGACACGGGGACAAAGATGACACAGGACGTGTAGAAAACAAATAGCTAAATGGTCATTAAACATATGTGGATTAAACACTGCAACCAAAAGACAGAGATAGGCAGAATGAAAAAATACGTGAACCAAGCAAGGCATGGTGGCTCCCTAGCACTTTGGGAGGCCGAGGTGGGTAGACTGCTTGAGCCTAAGAATTTGAGACCAGCTTGGGCAACATGGCAAATTCCTGTTGCTACAAAAAATACAAAAATTCGCTGGGCATGGTGATGTTCACCTGTAGTCCCAGGGAGGTCGAGGGGGAGGCTGAGGTGGGAGGATCACCTGAGCCCGGGAGGTCGAGGCTACAGTGAGCCATGATTGTGCCATAGCACTCCAGCCTGGGTGACAGAGTGAAACCCTGTCTCAACAAACAAACAAACAAAAAACAGGACTGAATTATATACTATATATAAGAGACAAATTAGATTCAAAGGCACAAATAGATTGAAAGTAAAAGGAAGATGATACACCACACAAACAGTAATCAAATCAGAACAGAAGTGAATGTAGTAATATCAGACAAAATAAACTTTAAGAAAAAAATTATTAGAGACAAAGAAGAATAAAGGGTCAATTCATCTGGAATTCACAACAATCGTAAACATATATAGACCTTGTACAGAGCCGCAAAATATGCAAAGCAAAAATTGGCAGAATTGAAGGGAAACAGACAATTCAACAGTAAAACTTGGGGCCGGGTGTGATGGCTCATGCCTGTAATCCTAGTACTTTGGGAGGCTGAGGTTGGTGGATTGCCTGAGTCCAGGAGTTCAGGGCCAGCCTGGGAACATGGCGAAACCCTATCTCTATTTGTTTAAAATATAATTAACAAAAAATGTTGGAGAATTCAATACCCCACTTTCAATCGTGGATAGAATAATTGGACAGAAGATCAACAAGGAAATATAAGACTTGAACACCACTATAGACCAACTAAAAGACATCTTTGACACACTCTACCCCATAATAGCAGAATATATACACCCTTTTCAAGTGCACATGAAACATTCTCAATATTCTCCAGAATAGAAGATATGCTAGGTCATAAAACAAGCATCAGTACCTTTAAAAGCATTGAAATAATACTAAATGTGTTCTCTGAGCACAATGACATGAAATTAGAAATAAATAACAGAAGGACTTTTGGAAAATTCACAAAAAGTGGAAATTAAACAGAATACTCCTAAATAACCAATGGGTAAAAGAAGAAATCATGAAGAATATTAGCAAATACTTTGGGTTAGATGTAAACAAAAACATAACATACCAAAACTTATGGGATGCAGCTAAAGCAGTATTTAGAAGGAAATTTATAACTGTAAACATTTATATTAAAAAAGAATGATGGTGAACCAACCTGTATTTCTGCCTTAAGAAATTAGAAAAAGTACAGCAAACTAAACTCTAAGGAAGAAGCAGCAAGGAAATAATAAAGATTATAGCAGAAATGAATGAAGTGAAGAAGAGAAAAATAGACAACAGATCCAGCGAGCCTGAGCGCCTTCTCCGTACCAGAGAAGCCCCACCCACCTGAAGCCAAGATGTCCAGCAAGCGGGCCAAAGCCAAGACCACCAAGAAGTGGCCACAGCAGGCCACATCCAATGTCTTTGCAATGTTTGACCGGTCCCAGATCCAGGAGCTTAAGGAGGCTTTCAACATGATCGACCAGAACCGTGATGGCTTCATTGACAAGGAGGACCTGCATGACATGCTGGCCTCGCTGGGGAAGAACCCGACAGACGAATACCTGGAGGACATGATGAGCGAGGCCCCAGGGCCCATCAACTTCACCATGTTCCTCACCATGTTTGGGGAGAAGCTCAACAGCATGGACCCCGAGGACGTGATCCACAATGCCTTTGCCTGCTTCGACAAGGAAGCCTCAGGTTTCATCCATGAGGACCACCTCCGGGAGCTGCTGACCACCGTGGGTGATCGCTTCACAGATGAGGAAGTGGACGAGATGTACCGGGAGGCACCCATTGACAAGAAAGGCAACTTCAACTACGTGGAGTTCACCCGCATCCTCAAACATGGTGCCAAGGACAGAGACGACTAGGCCACCCAGCCCCCCGACACCCCGGCCCCTGCCAGTCACCCCTCCCCACACACACTCATCCATACCAGCTCCTTGCCCATGACCCTCGCTCAGGGATCCCCGCTTTGAGGGGCTAGGGTCCCAGCTCCCATGGAGGAAACAGGCCAGGAGATGCACGTGCCGGGCTGAGGCAAGTGTTCCCACCGTGACTCCAGAGCCCTGGGCTGGTGTCTGACCCCTCTAAGGAAAGACCACCTTCTGGGGACATGGGCTGGAGGGTAGGACCTGGAGGCACAGAGGAAAGGCCCATTCCCGGGCTGCTCCCTGAGGAGGAAGGGGACCCTGAGTCTTGGGGTCAATACCACTTCACGGGCATCCCCACACAAACAGAAGCTCACCAAGGTCCCGTCCCTACACCTTGACCGGCCACTGCTGCACACCCACTCAGAACACACCACCTGCCATGGGAGCATGCTCAGGAGTCTCGGGCAGCAGGGACATCTGCCCCAAAGGAGGCAGAATCTCCAATAGAGTGCTGAGCACTGAAAAAAAGAAAAGAAAAGAAAAGAAAAATAGACAACAGAATCAAGTTGTTTCTTTTCTTTTCTTTCTTTCTTTTTTTTTTTTTTTTTGAGACAGAGTCTTGCTCTGTAGCCTAGACTGGAGTGCTGTGGTGGCACGATCTTGGCTCACTACAACCTCTGCCTCCCAGGTTCAAGCAATTCTTCTGCCTCAGCATCCCAAGTAGCTGGGACTACAGGCATATGCCACCATGCCTGGCTAATTTTTGGTATTTTTAGTAGAGATGGGGTTTCACCATATTGGTCAGGCTGGTCTCTAACCCTGACCTCGGGTGATCCACCTGCCTTGGCCTCCCAAAGTGCTGGGATTACAGGCGTGAGCCACTGCGCCTGGCCCAAAAGTTGTTTCTTAATAAAAAATGAAAACTGACAAACCTTTAGCTAGATTAACCAAGAAAAAAATGAGAGAAGACTAAAATTATAAAATTCAGGCCTGAAAGTGTTGAAAATACTACTGATCTTACACAAATAAGAAAATTATAAGGAAATATTATGAATAATTGTATGCAACAAATTGTTTACCCTATATGAAATGGACAACTACTTAGAAAGTCACAAACTACCAAAATTGACTCAAGTAGAAAGAGAGAATTTGCCTAAGACCTATAACAAGAAAAGAGATGGAATTAGTAATAAAGAACCTACCACAAAGAAAAGCCCAGGCCCAGATGGCTTCATTGGTGAACCAGCTGTTTACAGTAGAATTAACACCAGTTCTTCACGTAGTATTCTTTTATTTTGGAGACAGAGTTTCGCTCTTGTTACCCAGGCTGGAGTGCAATGGCGTGATCTTGGCTCACCGCAACCTCCGCCTCCTGGGTTCAGGCAATTCTCCTGCCTCAGCCTCCTGAGTAGCTGGGATTACAGGCACACGCCGCCATGCCCAGCTAATTTTTTGTATTTTTAGTAGAGATGGGGTTTCACCATGTTGCCCAGGATGGTCTCGATCTCTTGACATTGTGATCCACCCGCCTCAGCCTCCCAAAGTGCTGGGATTACAGGTTTGAGCCACCGCTCCTGGCCTTCACATAGTATTCTAAAAATAGAGGGAACACTTCACAACTTGATCTAAGAGTACAGTATTACCTTGACACCAAAACCAGACATCACCACAAGAAAACTCTAGACCAGTATCCACCAGTATCCCTTATGAACAATGACACAAAGATCCTCAACAAAACATTAGCAAACCAAATCCTGCAACATATAAAACAGGTTATAAGCCGGGCGCAGTGGCTCAAGCCTGTAATCCCAGCACTTTGGGAGGCCGAGGCGGGTGGATCACGAGGTCGAGAGATCGAGACCATCCTGGTCAACATGGTGAAACCCCGTCTCTACTAAAAATACAAAAAACTAGCTGGGCGTGGTGGCGCGTGCCTATAATCCCAGCTACTCAGGAGGCTGAGGCAGGAGAATTGCCTGAGCCCAGGAAGCGGAGGTTGCGGTGAGCCGAGATCGCGCCATTGCACTCCAGCCTGGGTAACAAGAGCGAAACTCCGTCTCCAAACAAAAACAAAAACAAAAACAAAAACAAAAAACAAAACAAAACAAAACAAAAAACAGGTTATATACCATTACCAAGTGGAATTTATACACGTTGAACTCAAAGCAGAGAGTAAAATGGTGGTTGCCAGGGGTAGGAAGAAATGGGGAGATGTTGTTTAAAGGGTACAAAGTTTCAGTTATGCAAGATGAATGAGTTCTGGAGATCAGATGTGCAGCATGCTGACTACAGTTAACAATACTGTATTGTATACTTGAAATTTGCTAAGAGAGTAGATCTTAAGTTTTTATTAGTACAAAAAAAGAAAGAAGGGAAGCAAATCATAACTACATGAGGTAATGGATGTGTTAATTAACCTGATTGTGGTGATCACAATGTATATACATATCAAAACATCAAGTTGTATACCTTAAATATGTACCATTCCTATTTGTTAATTAAACTTCAGTAAAGCTGAAAAAAATTTTTTTTAAGTACAAATGCTGTTGAGGATGTGGAGAAACTGGGTCCCTTGAGTACGTTGCTGGTAGGATTGTAAAACGATGCAGCCACTTTGAAAAACAGTTTGGCAGCTCCTCAAAATGTTTACCATAGAACTACTGTTCTTACAAAAACTTGTACCCCAACATTCATAGCAGCATTTATTATTCATAATAGCCAAAAAGTAGAAACAATCCAAATGTCCATCAAGTGATTAATGTATAAATAAAATGTATATCCACACAATGGAATATTATTCAGTAATAAAAAGTAGTGAAGTACTGATACCTGCTACAACATGGATGATCCTTGAAAACATAATGCTAAGTGAAAGAAGCCAGTCACGAAAGAACACATACTGTAGGATTCTATTCTTATGAAATGTTCAGAATAGGCAAATTCATAGAAATAGGAACAGTAATTTCCAGGAGGAGGGAGTAATGAGAAGTGACAGAAGATGGAGTCACGTATCTTTCTGGGTTGACAACATGTCCTGAAATTAACAGTGATGGTTGTTTAACTCTGGATATGTGAAAACCCCCTCAATTGTACACTTAAAGGGATGAATCTTATGGTATGTGAATTACAGCATAGTGAAGCTGCTATTAAAAGAAATGGTTTAAGGGGAACAGTAGAGATTTCCAGCAGATAAGAAAGGCTCTTTCTTTGCCCCTGGCAGGTACTGAACCTCCTGTCCTCCCTACTCCCCAGCTAAGTACCTCCCTGAAGTGCACACATTTTGGGTTCCAGGGCTCTTTATGTTGAATGTCCTTTTGAACTCAGCAGCTGAGGACAGGCTCTCCCCAGCAGCACCCAGTTCAAATGCTTTCACTTTGCTGGAGTGGGAACATGTGGAGAAGTAGCCTACAGGTCTGAGGTGGGGAGGGGACAGAGGAGAAAAGTGGGTGTGGTTGAGGGGGCTTGCCAAGCCCAGCCTCTCTGGCCCTCAGGAAGGGAAAGAAGTGGCTAGCTTGGAAGCCCCAACTACAAGCCCCTCCTGAGTGTCTCTGGGTGTTTGGGTGCCCTGCTTCACTGGAGCCCTGTGCCCTTGCTCCTGGCCCGGGTGATGCTCACAGGGCAGGTCCACGGGCAGCAGGTCCTGCAGGGCACAGCGTCCACTACAAGGGCGTGGAGCAGTCATAGGTATGTGCTCCTCTCAACTCAACCCTACACTGCCCTTCCAGATTACGCTTTGGCAAGGAAGCCTCCTTCATCCACTGCAGGCCGGTAACGTTCAGATTCATTGTCATTACTGTGGGATGCTTTATTCTAGCACTGGCTGAAAACTCCAGTGTTGCCATAGAGACCTGGCTACCCCACCCCCAAATACCAAGTTGTTGGGTGCTCAGAATCTATGAGGTGCATTCCCTCATTCTAGCAAGGCACCAGCGACTTATTGCAGCCTACACTTGGTTATATACTGTATCGCATGTCCTTCCAAAATGTGCTTATCACATGCAAGTGAGTTGGGATACATCCGTATAAAAACGGCTATCTTCAGGGAAGTGATAAAGTTCAGGTTTACAGATAAGTCAAGGGAGAAACTGAGTTGTTCAGTTTAATGAAGAAGAAAGCTCTCTGAAGTGAGAGGAAGAAAGGGAATTCCAGGATACTTGAGGCCACCATAGCCAAGAAAAACTGCATTTACTGGCTGGAAGTAAAATTTACCCTTCTTTGAAGAGATCCCGACATTATCTATGTTTTTTATATATACACATGGAGGTATCATCATCTTCACAGTAGTTATACCTTTTAAATCTTTGGATCATTTGGTTATCTTTAACACTGAATATGCAACTCTATTTCAGGTGGACACTATATTCTCATTTTAATAAACAGAATGGTGTCTGTTTCTGCTCTACAAGAAGACAAAAATGTTTAAGCATATATTATGTGTTAAGTATTATATAGAACTTAAAGTTGAAGATGAGATCTCAATTTCAAAACCATCCTAAATGGAGTTTTAAGCAGTGTAGAATTAACCCAGAAAAAAATTTAACATATAAGTATCTGTAATAACAATAATAGCAACTCCCATTTATGAAGTATTAGGTGCCAGGCACAATGCTAGGTGCTTGGTATAGTCTTGATATTCTTTTTTTTTTCTATTTTGAGACAGAGTCTCATTCTGTCACCAGGCTGGAGTGCAGTGGCATGATCTCGGCTCACCAAAACCTCCAGCTCTCTGGTTCAAGCAATTCTCTTGCCTCAGCCTCCCGAGTAGCTGGGACTACAGGTGCGTGCCACCGCGCCTGGCTAATTTTTTGTGTTTTTAGTAGAGACAGGGTTTCACGGTGTTGACCAGGATGGTCTCTATCTCCTGACCTCATGATCCACCCCCTTGTCCTCCCAAAGTGCTAGTATTACAGGCGTGAGCCACCACGCCTGTCCACTTTTAGTTTTTTAGTCATAAAGCCACATTGGTTGGATTTCTTGATCTTGTGTAATACTCTTTTTAAAAG